AGCAATTTTGCCAGGTAGCAACTCTGGGCCCCATTTTACAGATAAAACCCCTAAAGGCCCAGAGAGGTTAAAAACTTGCCCAAGGTCCCACAGCATGAGCCTCTACTGTCTGCCCACTGTCCACTACACCACACGTCCTCCCTCCTTTTGCTTGGACCCGAATTCCTTCTGTTTCTCAGCATCTCTCTCTGCTACCAGCCTTGGCATCATTTCCCGCAGTATTCCTGGAAGTGGGTAGCAATCAATGGGGAAATTTTAGCAGGAAAAAATGAGCAGACGGACAGACACTTGGCATTCCTAAGGCATAGAAGAGACCCTGACTCTTGAGGAGCCCAGGGCTCAAAGAGTTTTTAGAGTTACGGTTTGGTGAAGTTAAATACAATTTATTTATTCATATACGTGACTAAGTTTTATTGAGCACCTACTATGTGCCCAGCATGGTACTGGGCTCTGGTAAGACAGTGACGAATTAGGCAGCCCTGTTTGCACAGCATTCTTGAGAAATTTGCAGTAAAGTGGGCTTAAGAGACATGCACAAGTACAAGAACAGGTGCCACAAAATCCTTTAGCCAGCCACCAGGTACTGTCAATTCCACTCTCTGAATAACCTGAGAATCCATCCCCGCAGCAGCTGCTCTGGTGTGGACTACCACCGTCTGGCACCTGTGCCACTGAGGCCAACAGGGTCTCCCGAGCTCTGATCCCTTCCCACACTGCAACTCAAGGGACAATATGACCCATTTTCATCCTGCAAAGGCTCCTCTCTGCCCTTACAACAAAGTCCAAACTCCTGTGCTGGGACGTCTCCTCACAGGCAGATTCTCAGTCTTGTCCTCTGTTGGGTCCTCATGCAGGGCCAGGCCACAGGTGGGCATTCAACCAATGTTTGTTACATGAATAAGTGAGGTGGGGGAGGGGGGGAGGATGGTCTTTACCTTACAATGCAGCCTCATGACATCATAATGCAGATACCCTGCCCAGAAGATGATATTGGTCTATTTGAAGGACGATTATTGGTTTATCTAGCTAGGAGTCATCACAACCTCTTAACTGGACTTAATATGAAACTCCTAACAGTTTCCCTATGCTGACAAGTGCTATGGCTTTAATGGAGCTATGATTTTTACAATGTTATATAAACATGACAAGGCATAGGTATTTGGGATTGATGTGAGTGGGCAGTGAGGGCTACATGACAAAGTCTGGTTTTGCCTTACTCTGTGATTTTGGACAGCTTACTAAGCAGTTTTAAGCCTCATCTAAAAATGATCCCTGCCTAGCTGCCCTAACGAGGTCACTGTGAAGACCAGATTCGCTCTGGTTGAGAAAGGACTGTCCAAACCCTAAAGGGCTGTGCACACAAACGGGGCCATGACAGTGACCAAAGAAAACAGCTTCCCACTATAGGATGTCCCCATCACACTCCTCCCCTGGAAGTGGTTGGGAGGGTCCACCAGGGTTATCTTTGTTGTTTGTCTTCTTCCCCAGTGGGGTTGTGGGTGTGGTGAGGTAAAACATCTGTCCAGATGATCTGCGTGAATTCTCCACTAGCAGAGACAGGAAGATCACTGCGCCAGATGTTGCAAAGTCCTTACGTGGGCAGGGATGTTGGTTTGATGATCTCTGAGGTTCAGACAAGGGATTGTCTGCAGTTCTTTTCCTTTCCCTTGGCAGGAGTCAGTTTTAAACAATGATAAGGATTCTACCAGAATTGGGCAATTTCTAGAAAATCTGTTTCTGGAAACTCCCGGGAAGCCAATCCTTCAGGCAGAGTACTTTTCCTTCTCCAAAATAAAAGTGCAAAAGAAGAATATTACTGTTAATTCATGCAAGAGGGCAAATAACCGAATCCCCCTTGGAAGTCACATGACCCTCTCTCCCAGCCAGAACTCCAGACCTGGGAGGCTGCACAGGCCTGAGGAAGGAAGGGACATTTCACAGTGTGGTACTTGCCTGGTGCCGAGCAGCATGGGCTTTGCCCATTACTAATATGCAAACATTTTTTGATCGCCTCCCCAGAAGTTTGCTTGGGCCCAGGACATGGGGGAGGTCAACTGTTCGTCATTTGGTCCCGGCTTTCTGAGTTCAGGCCAATAATTAGTCATTTATTCATCCATACACTCAATATTGAGACCTGTCTCTGTGCCAGGCACTGTGCTAAGGGCTCAACTAGAGAAACTAATGAGACACAGCTCTTGGTCTCAAGTAGTTCACAGTTAATGGGGGGGGTAACCATCAAGTAAACATAATTATACAGCAGTAATCCAGGTAAAGGTGAAGGGCAGGGGACAGGGAAGGGAAAGGGCATTTCAGAGGGAGCAGAATGAGTAAAAGCCTGGAGGTGACCGCGTGTGGCCATGACCTGCAGTACTTGATCAAAAAGTGTAAAACCAGGATTGATGGACAAGGAGGTGGCACAGGGACCAGTCGGGGAAGACCAGAGTCCAAAGACACTGAAGGGTAGAGGGGTGATATTGACACATTGGTTCAATGACTATCCAAGTACCTTGTAGAGGCCAGCCTCATGCTCAGGGCTGACTCAGGCTCCCATCCTACTTTAAAAACCACCTAAAATTCTTTCCATTTTGATGCAAAGAAAGAAGTTCTTTGGGCTGGTGATCCAACATCCGGTACACAGTTGGTGCTCCATCAATGGTGACCGTGGCCCCTCCCTGCCAGGGAGTTGTTGCCACCTATGCAGTGTTCCCCAAAGATGCAGCATTTCATTCACAGGAACAGACATCGTTGTATCATGAAAAAGGGCCCATCCCTGCAGCTGACATCCACACCGCTTGTTTAAAGCCTTCTATCCCCTGAGATCTTAATGTCAAGGAAGGCTGATTCTCATGGCTACTTTACTTGGAAAAGAAAATGACTTTCCGCCCAACTTCAGCCCATAACAATTATGCAAAATAAATTGAAGTGTAAAAACAGGAGATGGCTAGCCGATGGGGCAAAATTAGGTAAGGTATGGCTTCTAGCGCCCTACTCTACAGACACAGAAGCAGACCCTGCCCCCTGGAGTGTGAAATGACCCTGCACTTTTAAATCCAATCAGGGAGAAGGCAGCACCAACCTCGGCCTGGGGGCATGTGTTTGGACACCCGTGGGTCCCCGTTGGCATCACAGGGCCTCCACTGTGCTCCCAGACCCGCAGATGAGGTGAGCTGGGGCAGGCTGGGAACTCCTGGAAAGGGCCTCCAGAGGTTAAAAGAGAACTTACTGGTTTTCTGTCTGATTGTAAAAATATGTGCTCATGGTGGGAAACTTGGCAAATGGAGAACAAGGAGAAAGAAAAAAGCAAGCTAGAGCTCCGCACCCTGACAGTAGATTCCCATTCGCCCTCTGGATAAACACCCCCCACGGGACAGGCAGTGCACGTGGGCAGCCACGTCCCTGGCTGTGCCATGGCGATGTCTCCACTGACCCCCTGCCCAAACTGCTGTCGCAGTGGTGGTTCCCTTCATCCTTCAGGCTCAGCTCCAAGGTTCCCATCCCAATTACTTATCCCAAGAGGATTTTTTTCTTGAACTCACTTCTGTTTGCAGTTGTCTGGTTTCTTTGTTTGTTGGCAGTCCACTGTTCCCAGGAATTTGCCTGAGGTAAGGCTTCTTCAATTTAGGGCTGTGCCTCAAAGGCACAGGGTCTGTCTATCAGCAGGGGCTCCCTAGTTATTTGTTAATTAGGAAGTAGGCCGTCTGGGTTTCTAGTATTTCAGTACCATGAATATGGCAGTGATGAACACGGCCCATATATATAAATGCTGACGAGCCCTGCCCGTTTTTTCTCTCTTGGAATGTCTCATATATAAACCATTCTCCTCTCCTCTCTCTTTCTGTGTGTGTGTGTTGGTATTTGTTTTCTGGAAAGGGTCAGAGTACTGAGCTGGGGGCTGGGTCCTCAAGTCCCTAGCTCATTCTTCAGCCTTCGGCAAATTCCAGGACTCCAAAGCCTCCTTTTTTCTGTGTTTTAAAAACCAGTAAAGAACTCTGCCTAAGGTATGAGTTGTGAGCACCAAATAAGATAAGATCCTGGAACTCTCAAGACTCAAAAGAAACAGTGAAGAAACACACACACACACACACACACACACACACACAAATACACCCCACCAGCAAGGCCCATACTCATTTTTCACTTTCAGTAAAGCCCCAGAGAGGGTCACTTGGAGATTCAGGGGCCCTGGATTCCATGGGGTACCCTCCCGGGGTGTCGGCTGCTTCTCCCTCCTCCTCAGAATCTGGGGTCATCTCTGGACTGGATCCCCGGGGAAAAGGTTCCCAATACCCAGACCCAGGAAGGAAGTCTTTCTCTCCACGAGTCCCCAATCTGGAGACAAACGAGCGAATCCCCCAACATCATCTCCACACTCGCTGGCCTCCTACCCAGTCCCTCCCGATGCCGGTAGGTGTCCTTGGGGCGGATGGGCACGGCTTGGGGGACCCCCCCCTCCGCAGGGGGCTGCCTCCCCCAATTTTGCCGGGGCAGAGGACCTGGGGTAGAAGAGTGTGGGTGTCAGGTTCCTATCTGGGACCGGGCTGGGGTGGGGGGAGGCGCTGGGAGTAAGGGTGAGAGGGGGCGGGCCCCATGGGTACCGGGACCCGCGGGCTCATCCCAGGTTGCGTCACCCGGCCCACCGCCCACTGAGACATCACAATCGGAGGGCCGGGACCCCGCGCCTCATTACCAACCCGACTGCAACCAAACAACCCAAGCAACAAACACCCCGGAAAAAAAAAAAAAGAAACCAGCCGGAGTCCAGCCTCCCTCCCCGCCCCTCCCCCTCGCCCCCCGGGGCCCCCGCCCCCGGATGCGAGAGTGAGCGCGAGCCAGGCGCCCCGCTCCCGTCAGCTGCCCGCCGCCAGCCCGCGGCGGGGGCGGCTCGACCGCGCGCCCGCCCCGCCCGCGCCCCGCCCGCGCCCGCGCTCCTCCGGCTCCGCGGCGCCCTCGCCGGGTGCGTGCCGCTTGCACGCTTGCACGCCCGCCCGCCCGCCCGGCTCTCCGCGCCCGCCGCCCGCGCCCGGTCCCGGCGCCCCGGCCCTGCTGCCCGCGCTTCATGGCTGCGCACGAATGGGACTGGTTCCAGCGCGAGGAGCTCATCGGACAGATCAGCGACATCCGAGTCCAGAACCTGCAAGGTAACGCGCCCAGCCTCCCCGGAGAGGGGCGCGGAGCGGGGGAGCCCGGGAGCCCCGGGAGCGGCTCCCCCCACCCCCACCGAGGAAGCTCCGACCCGCGCCGCCCCCGGCCCCGTCCTGACCCGGTCCTGTCACTTACGGAGGGGAAGAGGGTCGAGACACCCTCCCCCAAACCCCGGCATTGCCTCCCCGGCCAAATGAACAGTGGCCTCCGGGGGTGTGGGGAGGCACACGTGTGTGTGTGTGTGTGTGTGTGTGTGGGGGGGGGAGCATCCCATTTGCTTGAGGGGGGCGGGGGCGTCACGATTCCTCCTCCAGCCGCAGCTGCGAGTTTGGAGAAGTTTGTACTTGGGCCCTTGGGGGCGGCGGCCCAGGTCAGGGAGGGGAGGAGAAAGTGAGATGGCGTGTGTGCGTGCGTGTGTGTGTGTGTGTGCGCACGCGGCCCAGGTCAGGGAGGGGAGGAGAAAGTGAGATTGCGTGTGTGCGTGCGCGCGTGTGTGTGTGTGTGTGTGTGTCTGAGTTCGCACAGTTCCTAAGTACCTCCGGGGCTAGGGGAACTGAATGGGGCGCGGCGGCTCGGGGTGGACGGGGGAGAACGAGGTCAGAGGCGCGGGTCGGTGGGGTCTGGCGGCTTCTTTGTTCGGGGAGCTGCCCCTCCCCTGGCCCGGGGGTCACCTGGGCGGGGGTGGGAGGGTGGGGTAAGGGCGAGAGGCCGGCCGGCGCGAGACGCTGGGACCTGCGTCTGCCTTGGGACGAGGTGAAAGAGACGCTTGGGAGCCGGCAGGTCTGACAAGGGCTGGTGCGGGGCGGGGGGGGGGGGGTTCTCCCACCACAGACGACATGAATTTATCTTCCAGAGGAGTTTGTTCATTGTGGAAACTTAGCACAAACATATTTAAAGGAAAAAATTCACCAACAATCACCCCATGACCCATGCACGCCTCCCCCCACACACACATGAAGAAAGCCGCTTTTCATGGAGGTGTACTTCCAGCCTCTTTCTTTTCATATGTGGACTTTGCAGAACTGGACAGAGTTCCACCTTTCGCCTCTCTTCACCCACATAGACCTGGACAGGGAAGTTTAGCAGCTTCCTCTTCGGGCTTGGGTTTCTAGAGATTGCAAGGTCAGGGGGCAGCTCAGAGAGAACTGGGAGGCCTGGACAGAGAGTGGGTGGGGCCGTGGGCCCCAAGCAGGTGCCCTGCCTTTACTGCTGGAGGGCAGAGAGCCCCAGCGGTCAGGGTGCAGTCTTGGGGGGTGACTAGGCAGTCAAGTTTAAACATTACACCTGATAAAATGTGTCCCGGGAGCCCACATGGCCTGCTCCACCCCTAGGTTGGGCAAGGACAGTGCAGGCAGAGGTGACCTGCAGTGGGGAGGAGGGGAGCCTAGTGCACTGGACACTGGAAACTTGAGTTTGCTCTGTGCTCCCTTGATTTTTTCTGCAGTGATTTGTGTAAAGTAAGGAGGATTGAGTTGGAGATGCTGAAAATGATCTTTTTCGCTAAGCCTCACGTCTGGGTCCTGTTGCCTGAGAACTGACATCCTATTTTGGGGGTGGGTGTTAGTATCTTTTGCTGAGGTGGCATCTGGTTTGGGCCGTCAGGTTGTGTGTGTGTGTGTGTGCCTTAGGCAATCAGTGGGTGTTTATTAAGCACATACGAACCAATTCTTGGTGCAACAACTTCCTGTACTCCTCAACTCTCGGTAAAAAGGAGATCGACTTTTGTGAAGGGATGTTCAACAATATGAGCAACTAGTTACACCTGGAGCAGTGAGAGAAGGCGTCACTCAATGGGGACAATTTGAAATGGGTCTTGAGGGTTGGGTAGGAGTTCACTGAGTGGGCTCCTCTCTCTCAGCTCCCAGTGAACTGTCCTCACTTTTAGGCAATTGCCAATTGCAATTTGAGCATCAATGGGCTTTGCCATTTAAAAAAATAAACTTCTAACTTTATGTGTATTAATGATTATATACATGTATATAAAATATGCATTAATCTCAAGTACAAGCCCAACACATTTTTATGTATGGATACACCTGTGTAATAACTGCCTAGATCAAGATGTAGAAGTTTTCTAGCACCCTGGATGGATGCTTTGTCTCCCTTCCCACTCACCCCCTCCAACAAAGCAGCTACTATTTTTATCTTTATTGCTGTAGTTTTGCCCCTAGAACTTCTTATAAAATCGAATAGCACAGTATATATACTCTTTTGAAATGGCCTTTTTTTGCTCCACATTATGTTGGTGCGTTTCATCCACTTTCTTGCTTGTATCAGTATTTTCCCTTTTTTTTTTTTTTTTTTTTGCGGTACGCGGGCCTCTCACCGCTGTGGCCTCTCCCGTTGCGGAGCACAGGCTCCGGACGCGCAGGCTCAGCGGCCATGGCTCACGGGCCTAGCCGCTCCGCAGCACGTGGGATCCTCCTGGACCGGGACACGAACCCACGTCCCCTGCATCGGCAGGCGGACTCTCAACCGCTGCACCACCAGGGAAGCCCAGTAGTTCCTTTTTTAAGAGAGTTTTTATAAAACTACTGAGGCAGTTTTACATATTGTAAAATTCAACCTGCTTTAAGTTTATAATTCAATGATTTTTAGTAATTCTGCAGAGTTGTGCAAACATCCCAACAATGCAGTTGGGGAGCACTTTCATTACCTGCTAACGGCCCCTAGTGCCCAGCATCTGTGTCAGTATCGCTCCCAGCCCTAGATCCAGGCTGTCCATAGTTCCTTGTTTTCGCCGAGGACTCTTCCATCATATGGATGTACCACAGTTTGTTGATGTGTTCTTCGGTGAGGGGCGTTTGGGTTGTTTGCAGCTGGGGGCTGTCCTCAGTGGATGGAGCTGTCAGTCCTGGTGGGCGCTGTGGAGTTGCTGCCCAGCGTCGCTGAGGAGAGGCTAGGAGAGGCAGTGGGCCAGGAATCTGTCTTGTCTCTCTCCATCTTTCCCTTGGCATCCTCGTCTCTTAAGGATGCTAAACAACCATTTTCTCTCCTTGTCTCTGTGGTGCTCAGGAAGTCCAGCCAAAGGGCTGGGTCCAGAAAGCGGTCCTCGCCATGCTTAGAACGTCTGCCCAAACCAGCTGGTGGGTGTTGGCCGGCCCTGGACGTGTCTGGGTGACACGTGGGCCATGGGCGGAGGCCTTGTTCATCTGAACTCGGCATGGGTGGTAGTCAGGAGTCCAGGCAGAAGGGTTGTTTTTCAAACTCTGTGCTTCTTTCGCGAGCACAGGTAGAAGCAGTTGTCGTGGTGATGGGACGCTGGGTACAGGGGAATTTCACAAATCTGCCATCATAGGGACTGAGGCGGATCCCCAGCCTCCATCAAGCTTTTGTCTATGGCCCTGTGGAATTGTGGAATCCATGCAAATATGACTGTGATGTCACCAGACCATCCCCCAGGTCGGGGGGAGCAGGGCAGAAAGCGTGGCCTCTCCCAGGAGGGCTGTGACAACTCACTGTACCTGACACATGGACACGTGAAGTCCTCTTGATGTGCTCACTTCGATGGCTCATAAAAGTGTCTGTAAATGAAGGACTCCCTGGCAGGGAGCATGGATGTCCATCTGGGCGAAGCTGCCTGTGCCACCCTCACAGGGTCCTTCGCAAGGAAATGGGGGCGGCCCAGCTGTTGACCTTTTCAGAAGGGAGAACATGGAATTGCAGGATGTGGGCAGCCGCCACCTGGTGGCCCCCGCTTCCTTGGAGCCTCGTGGGGTAGAGCTGAGGTTGGAGGCGGCACTTCAGGTCTGTGCATTAGTCCTCAGCCGGGCTGTGGGCAGCAGGCGCTCCGGTGCCTTTCCGATGACAAGGCTGCCTGGCTGCCCCCTCTCCGTCTTTGGCTTGGCCTGAGGGTCCAGCTGAATGCTCCACCAGTTCTGGGATCCCCTGACTCTTGGTCCAAGGCAGGTGTCAGGCCAGTGTTCGGAAGATGCTCCCGTTTCTGTAGGGAGCCTCCACCCTGCCCCCCCCCCCCACAAGATTCATAGTCCTTTTCTGCTGAGTTTAGCAAACACGTGCCAAGCATCTAGCATCGTGCAGACACCAGGGAATGCGGAGCTGGTTCTTGTCCGTGCCTTGAAGGAGCATGAAGCCATCACGGCACCCGGCCAGACCGGGGCTTGGAATTTTCTGCTCCTGGCAGCACAGATGTCCGTTCAGTTCGTGACCGTCTCCTGTTGCTCTGGTGCCTGTTGGGTCTGACGCTGTGAACTTTGACCTCATTGTTCCGGAGCGACTTGGCCAGAGTTGGAGGTGGACGGAGTTAGATTAGGCTGGGCAGACATAAGGCTTTCCCACTGCATCTCTGGGGCAGTCAGCTAGGTAGGGGTGTCCAGCGCTGCCAGCTGAGCCCCGCCGGCTGGAGCTCCCTGAGCGGCAACCCTCCCCCTCTGCCTCAGTGTCTCCCTCAGTCGGAATTTCTTGGGAAGCAGTACCACCCAGGGTTAGCAAACAGAAACTGTGACTCAGGGCACTTGGAAATGACTGCCAAACAGGGGTAGTAACATTCCAGCAGCCTGTGTGCCAGACACGGCGCAAACTGCTGTGTTTTAATGCTTCTGCAAGCCTTTAAGGCTGTTTCAGAAGTGGAGAGGTAGAATGACTTGCCCAGGGTCATGGGCTTGGAAGTGGAGCTGGGCTTCGAACCTGGGTCACACTAAGGCACACTTCCCATCGCACTGGCTCTGTAAATCTTGGGCAAAGGCTGCACGGGTGAAGGAGCTGGTAGCCTCAGGGCTGGGAGCTGGGAGGGCCTCTCACAGTGGGGGCATTGGAACCAGACCTTGAGGGCAGAGCAGAAACTTAACTGCGTGAGCTCTGTGCTGCACAACCCGGTAGGCAGGAAAGTGGCTGGGATCTCCTGAAGGGAGGCTCAGGGCCAGGACTGTGCCCGCGTGCTCACGATGGGCCCTTCTTGCCTTGTTACCCACTTCCTCCTTTCTTCCACCGGCCCGGGCCCTCCTCACGCCTGCCCAGTCTCCGCAATGACCTCTTT